CTTCACTTGACAAAATTTGAAAAAGACGATAAGTGTGTAAACGGAAGGGCTGAATGAAATTGATATGTTCATATAATAATTGAACTGGTTCCAAATCGACATGAATTGGAAATGCAAACATAACATAACAACGTCAACTTCGGGAAATCCCCGGTTGAACACCACAGGGGCGGATCTTTTTATATTATAAATTGAACTTTGTTGATTAGGGAATTTTTAATAACATTTTATAATGAATTACAAAAGTATCTAATATAATCGTATTTTTTAAATTTTAAGATTTTATAAATACATATGTTGGTAAAGTCAAAAATTCTTAGTAAGCCTCCGGGCCGCATAAAAAACGCCCGAGGGCCGCAGGTTGAGTATCACTGATCTAGAGTCCTCTATAAGTCTCAGGTTAAGATTATTGGCGCCCTAATTTTTGTAGCTAGAATTTAGTGTTTCTTGTCTCTTTTGTCAAACGTATATTTCGTTATATAATTATTATCTTTTTATTATCTACCTTTTACTTATCTATCTTTTATCTATTAATTAAGATTTATCTGCCACATCCTTATTAACTATGCGTGAATTAAAAGAAATGACCAGAGACAGAGATCTCTGGAGACGGACAATACACGACATCACGTCGACCACTACACTCCCCCTGGGGGGTCAGGATTGAAGAGAGAGATCCTTATTAACTCCCAATGAAGCCTCCTAATTGAGCAAGGAGAACTTTGTAAAACTTTTGTGAACGATCAGCTTCTTACCGCCTATTCCTCTTAGCTTTTTCGTTACAACACAAGTGCTCATGGTGGCTTATTTCGTAAACGACGTAGAAAAGTTTCAAAGAAAATCTCGGTACGCTAGTACAACACCAATTTTCTTTCTGGTTCCTCGTGGTCAATGAGTGGATTTGGTAAGATCTACCAGAGTTATGGCATGTACCAAGTTTTTATTTAGAATAAATGTGTTAAAATGGGACAGCTCATTGGTACCTTACGTACCCAGCTATTTACCTTTTATATCAGTGAACCAGCAACCAGTGGCGGCCGGTCAGGGCCGGCAGGGTCGGCAGTGCCGACCCACACCTTTATAGATATTATAGATTTTTTTAATATCTAATTTAATCAAAATCCACAAGGAAAAAAATTCCTGTAACTGGCTGTATACCACGTATCACAAAAAAGAGGTTAGTCTTCGTAAATGGGTATATTTATTTAAAAAACACTTAAAAGGGTTACATAAATAAAACAAACGTTTTCGGACCACACAGTCCATCATCAGGTTTTAAAATTGAAAAAATGCTAGGTCACAATGCCTGAGCCACCAAAATACTAGGGTAAAAACCCTTTAAATTACATTTAGTTATAAAAGATTATACATTGTATAATCTTTTATCAGTATAATCTTTTATATATCACAATGTATAATCACAATGTATAATCACATGTATTACACAATGTATAATCTTTTATAACTAAATGTAATTTAAAGGGTTTTTACCCTAGTATTTTGGTGGCTCAGGCATTGTGACCTAGCATTTTTTCAATTTTAAAACCTGATGATGGACTGTGTGGTCCGAAAACGTTTGTTTTATTGATGTAGCCCTTTTAAGGGTTTTTTAAATAAATATCCCCATTTACGAAGACTAACCTTTTTTTTAATTTAATCAGTATTTTAATAATTAATTGTGGCAGATAATCAGTTAATGTCATTTGTTTCTGTGAAATACAAAAATATCTGTGAAATAACTAAATTTTATTCATGGTTTTTAAAAGAATAAGACCAATTCGACCAGACTAAATTTTATTCATGGTTTTTAAAAGAATTCGTCCAATCTGAGCGTTAAGTGATCCTTGTGTAAGACACTTTTCAAATTAATGATCCGAAATCGGAGACATGCATCCGTCTGTGAATTCTTAAATAGTCACGTTTCAGGGTTTCGGCAAGCCGATCCCAAGATTGACGATTTACAATATTTACATGTAAAAATCAACGGAATATTACTTGATGAGCAACCAAACATGCATTTCTTTCCATATGAAGTTAATTCCCAAGTACGGCAAATTTAAATTTGCCGATGCTTCTTAAGGATTGGTGATTGGTCGTGAACTGTACCTTGTGAGCGTGGGATAAAATGTTATTCGGGATGAGGATGGATAAGTAGTGAAATGAAGTGATATTGAGTGCACGAACTAGCGTTTCTGTCTGTGATTTATTTTTATTTTCTAAAGTAATACTGTGATAGGTTACCACTGCCGTAAATAGTTAAAGAGTTTTTTGAAATATTAGAAGTTTTTTTTTAATATTAAAAGTGAAACTGGAACAAACCATGAAGTGGAGATATCCAACTACACACGAACACCACGTGCTTTGTTTTTTTTTTATAAATGTGTAAACAAATTCAGGTAAATTAACCTAAAAATGCAAGCCATGGGAGAAACTGTAAGTATTGATAAATCTGATGTTGTAAATTATATTTTGCAAAATGGGTTTTCATCTATTCCATACGAAAAACAAATTGTTATTAAAAATATGGGGCGTTCTTTGCCTAAAATGACCCGGCTTATAAATATTAGTACAGAGAGGGTAAGGGAAGTAATAGATCATTTTCAGATAATTGGTACAGCAAGTACTCATGGCTTACCGGTAAGTAACGTTATTGAATCTGAGATTTATGAAACCATTTGCTTTTCACTAGAAGTAGATGAAACTACCGACATATGCCATTCACAATTATCAATTGTTGTTCGATACGCGTTACGTGGTAATATTTATGAGAGATTTTTAGATTTTACAGAGGTGAATAAAAAGGCAGAATAAATTTTTGGTGTTTTAAAGAACAGATAAAAATTTTTTAATATCAAAAATAAATTATATATATATAAGGTTCTTGAACTCCTAAGTGGAGCATAGAGCTTCAGTGAAAACGCGCCATCGGGTTCTATTTTGCGCTAAGGCCTTCACCTCATTCCAAGACTTTCCTTGTTTTCTTATCTCGTCCATGATGGATCTTCTCCAAGTTTGTACTGGGCGACCTTTTTTTCGTTTTCCTTGGGGATTCCACTCTAGGGCAGTCTTTGCAATACTGGAGTTGAATCAAAAATAAATTGATAAGGCAAAATTATGACGGCGCTGCCGTTATGTCTGGTGAATTGAATGGTCTCCAGGCAAAAATTAAAACTATTGCACCGCAAGCTTTATTTATTCACTGTCATGCGCATAGAATGAATTTAGTTTTGCAGGATACATGTAAAAAAATTAAAGAATGTCGTCTTTTTTTGGCAGTTTAAGCGGATTTGCTTCATTTTTCTCAAGTTCGCCTAAACAGACTAATGTTTTAGAACAGTTTGTTTCAAAAACAATTCTAACAGTTTGTCAGACGTGATGGAATTTTAAATCTCGGTTAGTTTTCACTGTAGCAGATTTTCGTGAACAGCTTTTGAAAGTTTTTGATTTTATTATTGAATGCGACGATTTTGAAAGTGATGATATCTCGATTCGTGAAGCAATCGGTTTGAAAACTTTATTAAATGATTACTCTTTTAACATACTTTTAAATATTTTTAGGAAAGTGTTTACCCAAACCGATTTAATATTCAATGTTGTTCAAAATCGGTTAACTGACAGTATTCATTCCAAAAATAGAATAACAAAACTAGTGCAAAATCTCAGAGATTTTCGTAATGATAGTAATTTCCAGTAGGCAGTGACGTTTTGGACTCGCTTGATATTTCCGAACCCCCAAAAAAAGACAAAGGCATGACACAGAAACAGATCTCGAAAAACGAGTATATTTTGAAATTTTGGAAACTATTATTATGCAAATAGATACTCGTTTTTCGAATTTTGAAGTTTTGCAATTTTTTGACCTCTTTGATGATTAAAAATTTAAAAGTTACGACTTTTAAATTTTTAATCATCAGAAGAATTTCTAAGATATATATTAGACAGGTTAATTAAAAATTATCCATCATTCTTTAACAAAATAAAATTAAAAAATGAATTTGAAGTTTTAATGCTAATCCAAATATTTTCGGAAGGTGGGATAAGTTACAAGATATGTATAATTTTATATACTGCAATTCATTACAACAAACTGTTATCGAAATTAATAAATTATTGTCATTAATTCTCTCATTACCACCAACGTCTGCCTCAAATGAACGAGATTTCTCTTGTCTCAAAAGAATCAAAACGTTTTGTCGAAACACCATGAAACAAGAGCGAATTTCAAGCTTGTCTCAAACGTCAATAGAAAAAAAACTTTTAAAGTCTCTCCAAAACTCATTTTATAACCCATTTTGCTACTTCCAAACAACGTAAACTAGAATTAATTTATAAACATGTTTAGGTTCTAAATTTAAAGAAAAAAAAACCTTCTATGATGATTGAAGTCTTTATTACACCTATCTAAGGAGACAAAAAATACCTTGCCGACCTCGTCTCTCAAGCCACGAGTCGCCACTGCCAGCAACATATAGAACTTAAGATTATTTATTAATTTCACACACATGGGGCCTGATTACAAGATCCCAATACCACTTAAGGAACTAAACTCCTAAATATATTGTAAACTAAATTTTTGTTTAAGCTGAATAAATTTTTCAGCAAATACAAACAGAAATATTCAAAAATATCATGTACATTCAGTTAAAGATAGAAATATGTCCAATTTAGTATAATTGTTCTCAAAATCTAGTCATGTCCCTTGAGATAAAATTGTACACAATTAACAATTGACAATCGACGTGATTTTGCCAATAAGATTATCGAAAAAACTTTGATCTGAATTGATAATAATACTACATTAATTAGTAAATAATAATACTATTATAATATAACTATTACTAGTTGTCCTAGTGTCAAAAATCATTATTTTTAGTGAAGCTGTAATGCTAACAGTCGCTGATAAATGTGGTATAAGTTGTAAATTCCAATGGTTGTTTATGGTTATATCCTAGTAAAAGGAAGATTTGATCACGTACGAAAAAAATCCACAAATCTCTTACCTGCACTATATATGAAGAGCTCGCAAGCCAGTCTATTTGTCCCCATACACCTGAATATGATGTCGTAGGTGTCCAACGCCTTGAGGTGCACCCCGGATGGTAGAGCTGGGTGCATGCATTGTGCCAAGCGTTTACTTATTTTTATCCGTCGCGGAATTACCGGAAACTTTGTATAACTCAGTAAAACCTGTAAATAAAAACAATTGTAAATTTATTATAAATATTTGACACGTCATAAATATATCAAGATGAACATAGAATTGAAAAAAAAAAGGATTTTACAAAGAAATTTAAGAATTTCTGTATGTATACAGTCCATCCGCTAGATCTTTGCACAAGTGTGACATTATTCACGAATTATTTATTATAGTATGTCCCTTTCCTGTCACAGACGCTAAAATAATGAACTTGCTGTTACTGTCGCCTATCCATACACGACAGCATACATCAAACAAATGCAGCCCTAGGACGATGGTCGATGACTGATTCAGTGTTTATAAAATATGTTCGTGTCATTTAAATATTCAATCCTTTTTCGTCTTTGGAATATACATATTTTTTAACATAAAATTGTTGTAGACTAACCGTTACCTTTGTGTTCGATTTATTAGGGTGAGAATGTAACTAATAACGAATAATATATTCATTCTAACCTTTAAATTGACATTTAGTTATTTAAATATAGCTAAAACCATGTCAACAATGAAAAATGAAATATTTTTAAAGGTTTTCATTTTTAGACTGGTAGACCAATAAATTTTCAAGCACATATTTTGTTAAATGTGTCGGAGTATTTCGAATAAACAAAATGATCAAGATGATAAAGCCCTAAGGTAAAATTCTATTCAGTTATTTAGATCATAACCCATATATTTGCTTGTATGCAATGAAAACACTTTTATTTCTGATAACTACGGTTTAATTATTTATTTACTATAGATGTTATTGGACAAACTGTAGGTTTCCAAAAATGTGAAAATCGCAAATCTCGATCATAATTGTATACCCAGTGTTCAAAACATAATAAATGAAATAGAAGAGAAGTTTAAAAACGTCCATTGTAATATCAGCCATTTTTTAATTCTTATAATAATTCTTAAGGTGCCCACTTACTAAGAAGGAAGTGCGAGGTTCGAATGTGCACGGTACAGTTAAAAGTATGCGTGTATATAAAAAAATGTGGAGTGCACAACCAATCCTTTCAAAATCAGGATCTTCATGATTTTTAGCGCGTGTAATTATCATCCCACAGGAAACAACAACAGTATATGGGCAACAAGTATCTGCATGTTTCATTTCCAATCAGTGCTGTACGACTGCTCGTTGGATGTTGCATATTATTTGGCATTTTATAATTTTATGAGAAAACAGAAGTTATCCCTGTTTATGGCAAATTCAAAATAAGGCATACAGTGATCGTCAGAAAAAAAAAATAAAGTCTACGAAGAACTAATTAAAAAAAAAATGAGAGAAGTCGATCCCGATGAATCTAAAGAAAGCGTAGTGAAAAAAATCAATACAATGCGAGGAAGCTTGCGCAAATAATAAAAAAAAAGTGAATCGTTCACTTTAGTGTTCACTTTAGTGTTCACTTTTTTTTCACGTAGTGTTCACTTTAACCGTACTTTTAAACTGAAAGCATAAGTACTGGTGTATGTCAGCCTGGAGTGTACGGGTTTACCTTACTACAAACATGCAGATACTTAATTGCGCATTCTTCCTTCTTGGTGGGTGGGGACCTTTATAACCGACTTAAGTTTAGCTTACATGTTTTGATTTAATTCCTATAATAAGAATGATGACAATGTACAAACATTCAGCGAATATACTGTAGGTACTGCTATGGCGAAGAAATCAAACATCACGGTACCTAGTCCCGGGGGAGGTTTGGTGGTAAGGAAGCTAAGAATCCTGCGTTCAAAATAGCAAAATTCATCATTAAGATAGGCACATGGAACGTTAGAAGCCTTTATGCTTCCGGCAAATTTGAAAATCAGGAATTTCAGGTCAAACGATTAAATTGTCATTTACTGGTGTAAGCGAATTACCATGGCCTGGTTCAGGAACATGCAGAGGCAAAGATGGTACATGGTATTATAGTGGGAATGATAACGGAGACCCACAACACAGAAATGGAGTAGGAATTTTCGTAACAACGGAATTAGAAATAACATAATAATGCTCTTATAGCTGTGCGTCACTCTGTCTTTAATATTAACCTATTATAAGTATATACTCCTACTGCAAAAAGAAAATATGACAATGAAGTAGAAATTATGTATAATAAACTTGATGTACCATTAAAAAGTTTAAAATCCAACAAAATCACATATTTAATGGGTGATTTTAATGCCAAAATTGATAAAGGGTGTAAATCAGATTTTGTGGGGAAATATAGGGAGACAGTAATGAATGCGGAAATAGACTTTTTAATTTTTGTCAAGAACACAATATGGTAGTAAAAACATATACAATAAAATCAGATAAATTACATTCTTATCAACAAAAGATTTATGAACGTTTGTAACGATTTATTCTAATAATCTTAATGTTACATGCATACACAGTAAGTCTATTATAATCCAAGCCGTTTCTTCTTTCCTTTGCGCCAGCGATTTGTGTCAATCCCGTCATGTTGACCTAATTCTCTCGCTGTCATTGTTTTTGGACTTTAAGATTCCAAGTCCTCTTTGGCCGACCTCTTTCTTCCTGACGACAGCAGTCCACTTTCACCTCTACTCTTTTCCACTCTCTGGAGTGTCTATAATACATAAGCTGCTTCCTATTAATGGTACTTGCATCCTCCGTCTGATCTCATCATTTGTTGAATGTTTATGTATGTGTATGTTAGAGACCCATTAAGCCTGAGTTCCTCTTCAGGATTACCGATTACCATAAGTCTTGTCTCTCAAAATTAATTTCCATGCCAACAGTTCTTGTATTTCCACATCATATACGATGGCTCGTCCAGATCAGCTATAATAACCTGATCGTCAGCAAATAGAGGACTATAAAGTGTTGTATCTCCAATAGGTATTCCTATCCCGTCGCATTTTCTTTTCCAGTCTGTTAAGGCTTCATTCATGTATCTTTAAATAGAATTAAACAATACAACACTCTTTTTCAGGCTAAAAAAGTGGAGTTAATTTTGCATCTATCTTGAGACTACTCGTCGTGTCATGGTATTGATATTGAATAGCTTTTATAATAATTGTTTGTATAATGCTCTGTTTTTACAATGCTGGCCACAGTCGTGAGAGTGGTACACTATCATATATCTTTTGGAGTTCTATGAAAATTAGGTAGAGAGTCTGTTCTTTTTAGTTTGTTTTTTAATAAGATGTCTTAAATCAATCTTAAATATTATCAATACATGAACGCCCAGCTCTAAAACCACTTTGCACTTAGCTTTCTGTCATATTATCTTCTATTGGAGTTTTAATAATTATTCCATGTAGATGTCAAATCGAGTACAAAATACTGATACCTCGGTAATTTTTACATTGTGATCTGGTGCCTTTTTTATATATCGATGAAATATATGCTTGCTTCCATTCATTTCATTCATTTCCAGACGCCTTTCCTTTTTCATTTGTTGGGCAGTCTTTTTAACTTCTAAAGTGGCCAATTAAAATTGATAAGTTGTCTGCCAAAAATGTTTTCCTGTCATCTGTCAGCAGACTTGTAATATGTTTTCCATTTATCTGCTTAACATACAGTGATGAACAACATATAGCCTTTCCTATCCAAATGTCAACCTCACCTGGACGTGTGATGATCTTGACTCTAACCATTTGGTGCATCCTGCTAGATAACAAAAACAAACGTCCGAGTGATTGCTGGTATAAGCAATCCTCCACTTTGTGACCAACGACTTCGGACGGATGAGTTGGTAAGTGGTGGAGCATTAATTTGCCCTTTTTCTTATGGTGCCCTATCCAATTAATGGGTGTTGGCGACAATTCTGGCATAATCCTTTCGATCTTGTGTGGCTCTAAAGAGAGCATGAGCATCGAGGTTTGTCCAATCCCTTATGTTTAAGCCATGAGTATTTCTTTCCTCCGATGCCCCGTTTTCCTTCTATCTTCTCTTCCATAATAAGCTTTAAGAACTGGTACTTGGAATTTCGAAATATATGACCCAGATAAGCAGTTTTTCTTCTTTTTATTATTGGCAGCAATTCTCGTTCTCTGTCCATTCGATTTAAAACTTCGACATTTGTTTTTGCCCTGGAATTGAGAAATTGGTTCCGAAGGCAATTAGTTGACGGCATAAGGAAGTAGAAAACAAAGGAACTTATACCGCAGAGTATTAAAAATATCAAGGACTGATAGAATTACAAATAAAGAAGTACTGGAAAGGGTTGGTAAGGAAACAGAACTATTAAGAAAGAAGATCTGTTGGCCGAAGGCAGAATTGTTGGTTGAAGAATCTACGTGATTGGTATCAATACAGATCGAATGATTTGATTAGATCAGCAAGTTCAAAAATAAAAATAGCTATTATGATCGCTAACTTCCCTAAGGAGACAGCACTCTAAGAAAAAAAAAGATAAATTCAAGTAAAGATGGAAATAAAACAGAAAACTGCCTTCGATATTATCGAAAAACATATTTTAAAGAATATAACATTATTTGTAAATATTTTATCTTAGCAAATAAGTTTTTCTTTCGCATTCTGATTTATCGCTACTATGTATACATATAATAAACATTCGAAGAGTATTGACAGCTGTTAATGATATGACATATCATTGTAACTGATATTACCAGTTCACAGAACTAATCTCTGATAATTTCAATACTTCTATTGATCAAATCAATCTATTAATAAAATAAAACCATTTAGAATCAAGGGTACACAACTTAGGTACATAAACTTTAATATTAAAATATTAGTCATATTTGTTAGAGATATACACTGCCGAGCATAAAGTTAGGGTCACCCCGTTATTTATTATTTTTTATCTATTTTCGGTTATAACATAGATTGATAACTAATTGCTTAAAGAAAACAACGATTTTGTTCCTCAAAGTTTATTGAAACTCATGAAAATGAACAATTTTCCTTTGTTATACTAAGTATTGATAAGGGACAATTATTTTAACTTTATGTGCTTTTTGTTTAATCAAAAGAAATTTTAAGAACTTCAGTAGCAAGTATTCTTTTCTCTGATAGTGATAACGA